TTAGCGGGCTACAAATGAGAGTAGGTAATAGTTTAAGGTGAAATCAGAGACAGACCTAGGGATAAATGTATGCCTAACTGAACTCTCTCTGGCAGCGAAGCTCATTCCTTCAGTACCTCCATAAGCCCCTGACCTCCACCAAGGTCATCCTCCCCTCAGAGTTTACCCACCTAATCCATTCAATGGGTGTGGTACCTCCCAAGGGCTTGTCTGCTCTTGACTGGACACAGAGCACCTACTCCCCTTTCTACCCTTTGCTTCTTTCCTCCCACAATCAGTACAAAATTAGTAAGAGTGGTCTTGGTGGGAGCAGAAGGAAGTGGGAGAAATCCTGGGCTTTTGAAATCAAGAGTTTGGGCTCACATTGATGGGTGTCATGGTAACCTATAAATGTCACACTGTAAGTGGGAGTTTACTCCTCCTATGGTGTAGTTAACTCTCATTTAAAAGCACTAGTAATGTGACGACATTTCTTTTTGCTAAGACTGAATTTTCTGATTTACATTTATCCTTAATTCCATTTTTGTTATCTCGACTTTTAGTGTCCTGATCATAGGCTTGAGAGCTAGGAGGGACCTTAATAATTGCTGATTAAATGAAGTAGGGGTGTCAAAATTGTCTTTACATAGATCATCTAGTTCAATGGGGTGCTGGAGGCAGCTCAAACCAGCTTGTGAAACATTGCTAGATTTTCAGTGTACGTATTTACGCTTTGGAAATTGGCAACCACTACAAATCAGGGCTTAGTTTATTGTTTTGTGGATTGTCTAGATTTAAGAAAATGTAATCATTCAAATTAAACTTAAAGTGTGGGCAGATCTCTCCTTCCCTTTTCCCTCCAAGAGTGCAGTTGCTGAATATTTACCAGCATGCCTCTGTAACTGCTCTATTAACATTGCTTGAGCTCAGAAGGAGTATAGTAGAAGGCTGGGGAATTAAGTCATTACTAGACTGGAGGTCTAGTGACAGGAGACTGATAATAGTAATGAGCAGCACTTCTATAGCACTCTAAAGTTTGCAAGGTGTTTTACATCCAGTATCTCCTTTCAGCCTCCCAACACCCCAATCTGGCCCAAATCTTTCATTTTACAGATGAATTAAAACCCAGAGACTTGCCCCAGGTCACACAGAAAGGGTTCAAACCCACATCTTCTTACTCTAAATCTAGTGCTCTTTCTGCTTTGCCACATTGATCTTTTATTTTTCAATCTCATTTTTATTTTTATACGGCAAAAATATCTCAATATTTTCTTTTCCTCTTTGGCTAGCTAGGTGGCTCAGGGGATAGAGTGCCCAGCCTGGAGTCAGGTAGGCTCATCTTCCTGAGTCCAAATCTGGCTTCAGACACTTACAAGCTGTGTGACCCTGGGAAAATCACTTAACCCTGTTTGCCTCAGTTTCCTCATCTGTAAAATGAGCCAGAGAAGGAAATGGCAAACCACTTTAGTATCTTTACCAAGAAAACACCAAATAGGGTCATGAAGAGTTGGTCATGACTGAAAATGACTGAAAATCATTTTCCCCTTTCCAAAGATGAACCCTTTCTTGTAACAAAGAAGAGACATGGTTAAGCCTAACCAAATGGTACCAGGGAATATATGGTTTGCATTTCAAACTCAAAGTTCCCAACCTACCTCCTAAGAAGAGGGAGGGTACTACTGGTTTTCCATAGGCCCTAATGGCTAGTGTTCTTCACTTTGGGAACATCAACATGACTATGTATGTATTTTGGTGTGCAAATATACATACATGCTTTGTTTTTGAATCAGATAATAAGAATGCTATGCTTTTCTAACTTATGCAACTCCATTATTATCCAGTCTTTTGTAGATTCCTTGAGGAAAACAAAACAAAATCCCTTTTCTCAAATCAGAATTCAAATGGACAGTCTTACACTTATAGAAGCCAGAGCATAATCTCTCCATTGAAATTGGCTATGGGAAATTTCCCAAATTTGTGCTATACTTTCTCTCCTTTTCCATATTTCTATGTACCAAAAAAAGAAGAAAAAAATCTGTCATGTTATCAAACAACCCCTTGTCTCAATGTTTATCAAACAAATATGTCTTGTCCCATTGACCTTTCAGAAGAGGCAGTGTGTGGTCTAGAGGAAAGACTACTGCATTTGGAGTCAGGATGACCTGGGTTCCAATCCCGCCAAAGCCACTTACTGTGTGACTCTGGGAAAGTCACTTAACCATTCTGAGTTTTCAGTTTCTTCATCCATAAAGTGGGGATAATATCTGGATATTTAAGGGTTTTTGAGGTTTTTTTTTTGAGGGTCAAACAAGATACTGTATCAACTTTAAAACACTATATGAATGAGTTGTCATTAATAACAACCACAACAATAATATTAATGAAAAAAAAATGCTAAGGATAATCCTGAATTCTGACCTGTGACTTTTTGTTTCACATACCTCTACTTTTGTCTTTTTCTGCCTCACCTTCTCAGCAGGAAAGTTTTCCTAAATTGAAACCTGGGGATCATAATCCTGGCAATTGCACTGATTAGATGGTAGGCACGAGACTGGAACATGTTTGATAAGTACTCAGAAAGTTAAAAAACAAACAGATGAATGCATTTCTTTTTGGACAATCACACTTAATCAGTGCTGTGCTAAGAATGCGGGCAGGTAGTGGGAGTTAATGAGGTAACACATAAAGTTAAATCACTGCATATCTTTTGCCAGTCACCTTCATAGTTACTAACCATGCATTTGAGCTGAGATTGTTTGTCCCTTTGCAAATAGGCAAATTTCAGGTGATCTCTGAATTTGGGTAGGGTCGATAGCCCTATTTGCAAATAGGTATTTTCTTACACAGGAGCCATAACTTAAACATTAGCACAATGTATATTGTACAACCTTACTCCAGATCCATATCTGGGCTATGGCATGTTGAACTGTATATTTAAGAAGTTTTACCTTCATGAGTCTTTGTTATTATCAATAAAAATAATTGAAACATGCCTTGCATAAAATTTTAACTTTTTTGAAAAGACATGAAATGAACCTATACGGATAACCTGGATTTGTATTTCACAAGAATTGAAAAACAAATAATTTGTGAATGAAGTTATAATAAAGATGAGCAAATCCAATATTCTCTCTCATAATTGAAGTGAGGCTTCTGTGTCAGATGCTCTAAAAAGTTAGTTTCTTGGCAGCCATTGTTGGAATGTTCATGGTCTTGCACCCACTACATTCTGTTAGTCTTTCCTATGAACAGCAGGAGTTAACATCTGTATATTTCAAAAGATTATTAATTATTTCCTCCTTTATCCAGTCTTTAGATGGAAGACATTTATCTGAGGATCCCTTCTAATTTTGATTCATGGCCTCCCTCATTTGACTTATTTCTGGTTCTGTATTTTTCTGTCCCAACTTCTCAAGACGAGAACTTTCCTAGGCTCAAACCAGCAAGGTCAACCCTGCTGACCCGGTTATATCAACCAAATAACATTATTAAAAGAGCATGTGTTTATTAATGCCCATTAGCATTACATGGAGTACTTCAATGGAGCACTTTTTTTTTTTTAGGCAATTAGGGTTAAGTGACTTGCCCAGGGTCACATAGCTAATAAGTGTCAAGTGTTTGGTCTGAGGCCAGATTTGAACTCAGGTGCTCCTGACTTCAGGGCCAGTGCTCTATCCACTGCGCCACCTAGCTGCCCCCAAAATGGAGCACTTTTTATGACATGTGAATCTACATGTGAGGGACAAAGAAAAATACTCTGTCTCACACTGGAAGAGGAGGGGGGAAGACCTGAATTCAAATCCTGCCCCTAACACTTGCTGAATGATCCTGAGTAAGTCTCTTAATCTTTCTGGGTCTTATTTCCTCTTCTGTAAAAAGAATGCGTCGGACTCAATGTCCTCTGTGGCCTTTTCCAGCTCTAAATCTATGAACCTATAATTCATGGCCTACAAATTGGCTTTTCTGAAAATGAGAAACAAGTTGGTTCCTTTCTCAGCTTCACTCTCCACGACTAAACTCAATGGGATGAAGTTAATAAATGCTATGAGAGGTCTGGTATATGGTTAAAGAAATTAAATGCACATTGTTGTTACTAATAAAACTATCAATTATGTCTCATTAAGGCAATGAAATTTTTCTGGATATTTAAGCTGTGTAACAAAGCATGATCTGATCATCCCCATCTCAGGTTTTATAAGATCAGGGAAGGAAAGGCAGACACATAATGTTTCAGTGTTGAGATACCACAACAATGGGATTCTTTCACCTTTAAACATTCAGCATTTGAATGCATTTAAAGTATGGTTTTATTTTACAGCTGTGCTTTAAGGCTGACTATGTTGTGATTCATCAGCTGCAGTGCTGACTTGGTTCTCCCAAGGACAACCTTGGGTATGAAAACAGGCTGGACTTTCTTTGAGCTGTTTATTGTGAAAGCAGAAGCTGTGGGTGAGGTTCAACACTGCGCCATATTGAACCAATTCTTTTAATGCAGGCCTATATACCATCTGAATACAAACCATCAAAGGGACAAAGGAAAAAAAGAGATGAGGAAGCCAATTTATTCAGATAATCTGAAAGCCTAAAACAGAGGTCCTTAACTCTGGGTCTGTTGACTTGTTTTTTTGGATTCTGATAAGTACATTTTAACATTGGCACAGTGGATAAACCACTGGGCTTAGAATCAGGAAGGCTTATCTTTCTGAGTTCAGATCTGACCTCAGATACTGTGTGATCCCTGGGCAAGTCATTGAACCCTGTTTGACTCAGTTCTTCATTTGTGAAATGTGCTGGAGAAGGAAATGGCAAACCACTCCAGTATCTCTGCCAAAAACACCCCAAATGGGGTCATGAAGAGTTGGACATGACAGAAATGACCGAGCAGATATTTTAATATAATTAGTTTCCTTATGCTAATGAAATAATGAGTTTGGATAAAAAAAAAGACATTATTATTATTGTTGTTTAGTATTGTTATTACCAGTAAAAGTAGTAGTGTCAATTATTTCCTAAGACTTTACCTGAATCTAAGTGCCAAGGATCAGTGGCAGCAGACATGGGTGGGATGGTCAGCGGGGACGCTCCACAATTGGACTCCACCAGCTCCCCTTGAATATGGACTTGAGAAGAGACGTTTGTGGGTCTCAAGGCTGCCTTGAGAGGAGCAATTTGGTTGAATTGTACTCTGGAGAGACACCCGGTGAATCCTGGTGTGTTGTACTTGTGTATTTCTTGATCAATCTTCCCTGTTTCTAGAAGCAAGAGAAAACAAGAAAAATTAAGAATAGTAGCCCAATTTATTATATCAGCAGACTAAGCATTTTTGTTCTATAGTTCTTTCCCCAAACTCATTCTTGGAAGATGTTCTTTACAATGCCATGCTAATCAGTTAATATGACTGAGAAATAGATACATGTTTTCAAAACAGTTTATTAGAGTTATGGAGTATGATGGGAAGATCCTAACCTGCCTAAAAACGAGTTCCCAAAGAAGTAACAAGCAAGATTGAATACATCTTTCTTTTGAAATTTGATTTATAGATTCCTGATATTCCAATATGACATAGATGTGAATAAATGCCCTCTTTATTCTGATTGTTTTCTGTCCCTTTCTTGGTGTTTGCCTCTGAAACGTGTTTATTGAAGAAACTCTTACACTTTAGCCATTGGTTAATTTCCTATTCCTTTATGTGCTTTTGTCCCCTTTCTTCCTTAAAGATTCTTGGTTTGAAAACAGCAAGCTTTTCAACCTAGAGCATTTCCTTCCTTATAACCTTGAGAAATTTGCAGTATGAATGAATCTTGAGAGGTGCCTGTTGGCTGAAAGTAAACCTTCCCAACTGTGCTATGAAGTTTTGCATGGGACTATGAACCACACTCACATTTTCCTCTACTTTCTTGACATCTCCCCGTATGACCATTTGAACCTGGCATAGTAAAGATTGGGATCTTCGGATCAAAGTGTTATGGCGGGAAGGGGCCTTAGTGAATATCTAGACCAACCTTTGATTTTAAGGTGAGAAAACTAAGGCCCAGAGAGATTAAGCGACTTTCCCAAGGTCACACAGCTAGTTAAGTGGCAGAGCTGGGAAGTGAATTTAGGTCTCTTGATTCCAAATCCATCATTTTTTTCACTATACCATGATTAATGGCATATAAAACTTAATGTTCCTACTAATATGACAGCTGTTAGTTTAACCCTGTGTTGCTCAGCTGAATGTAGAGAAAAGGTAGATATCTACCTGTTACACTGCCATGCTGGGCCCCAAGGCCCAGTTACCCAGAAGGAATCAGTCTTAGATGAACCTTAAAGGCTTCAAAGTGCCCAGATGTCATTTTGCTCTTTATTCTAGATCAATGCAAGATAGGTAAGTGACATCTCAGAGATTATCATCTCCATTTGGATTCTAGTTGGGTATATTATATTAGCAAGGTGATTATCACTGAAAAGTATTATAGCTATTTGGAGTATTACATTTGCATTTCATCAAAGGATGAAGATATAAGCTAATTCTTTCTCCACTTGAACTGAATAGATCAAGTGCTGTGCAACACAGCAGGATAACTATGTATTTACATGTGTAATTCAGAGCAGGTGATGTTGCTTACTGGGGAAAGGATATTGGTAAAGCTATCCTAGGCTTAATGCAGTCTTCTTTCTTTCTTTCTTTCTTTCTTTCTTTCTTTCTTTCTTTCTTTCTTTCTTTCTTTCTTTCTTTCTTTCTTTCTTTCTTTCTTTCTTTCTTTCTTTCTTTCTTTCTTTCTTTCTTTCTTTCTTTCTTTCTTTCTTTCTCCTCTCTCTCTCTCTTTCTCTCTCTCTCTCTCTCTCACTCACTCTCTTTCACTGAGAGCAAGAACACCCACTCCTTTGGGACAAGAGAAAGAGAAATAGTCATCATCAAGTGAACTGAAGTTGTAAAATAGATATTGGTCTCCACTGGTAGAGGAAACGTCCTCACTGAGACTTCCCTACAATGAAGACATAACAGGTCTAGACACCTCTGCCCCACAAATATATGTCCAGGTAGTGTTATTGATAGGATGCCACAAGAAGCAGTAGAGTACCAGAAATCTTTTGAAAACAAGATGGGTTCACAGGTGTGAATATCTTTGGGAAGAAAACCAATGATGTAGATCAAAGGACAATAGATATGAAGCTAGAAGGAATCTTTCACTGATAACACAAAAAGTCTTGAGGGAAGGGATCTAGGCCATCTAGTGCAACAACCTATAATTTAAAAATGAGGAATTAAGCCCAGCAAGGTTAAATGATTTGCTCTGTGTCACACTGGCTATGTCAGAGGGGGGTTTTGACCCCAGGTCCTCTAACTCCAGAATAAGTTCTCTTTCCATTGTATAAAGATGGTAGAAGTGAAAATAGATAGGCACTATAAACTTAAAACAGAAAGAAGGTCGAATTTGAAAGCAACAGGCCAGCAAAAACCTCAAGATTCTGTCTAGGCCTGTGATCTCTTTAGACCTTTTGGCCTATTCTGTCTTGTGGCTGTTGGTGAACAAGCAGTGAGACAAGGGGGTATGCGGCTACCATGTTTAACAGCTCTATTACCAGCAGGTGAGGGTCCTGCATGAGCCCTCATGGGTCTCTTGGGGCAAGATCAACACAGAAGCCCTGAAGTGGTCCAGATAGAAGACATTATTCTATTGAACTTCGCCTTAGAACAACTGGGGATATGACTCCGATCTTCAAGTGCTTAAGCAGATTGGGATATGACGTATTCTGCTCGGTCCCAGACGGTAACAGTAGGAGCAATGGGTAGAAGCTATAAAGAGACACACTGAGGCTTGATATATAGACAGTTTACAGTTCAACAAACCTCTCTAAAAGTAGAATGGTTGCTTTAGGAGGTGCTGAGTTTTCCTTTACTGGAGCTCTTAATGCTGAGACTGGATGACCACTTGCAGGAAATACTGTAGGAGAGATTTTGTTTTTTATCAAGTACTTTTTGGACTAGATGGTCTCTGAGGACTCCTCCAGCCCTTAAATGTTGTGTTTCTGTACTGTCCCTGAGTGCCCCTTGGCTAATCAGCTATTGGCTTGTCAGATTACTAATGTCAGGATCTTGGCCCACTTCTAGTGTTCTCCTTGCTGATCTGACACCTCAGAGGGACAGGACTGGTACTAAAGGAGGCAGGGTCTGCCTGCTAAAGGTACCTGAGCAGTTCTGCAGTTGGTCCAGAGACATGGTCTACTCATAAATAACTAATATAAAATAATACATAAGTGAAGGAGGGTGTAAATTGCTCTGTGGAATCTGAGGGGTAGAAAGGTCTCTGTCTCTTTCTCTCTCTAGCTACTGATTCCTCTTTTTGTATTAGCCAGAACATGGAACTGAAGGATTAGTTAAATTTTTTTCTTGTATTCACTGCATAAAGTTTTAAATTTCTCATCCTTTATGTTAAAATCATGTTCTTGAGATCATTTTTATTTCTCTCACTCTCAGTCCTCACCTTCTGTGCCTACCCCTCCCCCCAAACCCTAACTCAATAATAAACCAACAATAAGCAAATAATTAAATCAAATTTCATTTTATTTGCATTTTACTATCAAATAACTTTTCCCTATGGGACAGTGACTCAATAGAAAAAAAATTTCTACCCCCTACTCAAAGGATTGATTTCACAGTAAGGCTCCCTAGGTCTATTAGAGATGAATTTAAGGCCATCCACCCCGTTTCATTAATGACCCAGATAATAAGTCCTAGAAAATGTGGAAAGCTAATTCAAAATCAAGATTGGCAATATCACTAACAGTAGCTCCATGGTTGGGTTTATTCCTGTTGGGGGGGAGGGTAGGGTAGGTAATCCGTATTTCACAAGCACATTTAACAACTAATTGTACCATAGATAATCATCTCCGTATATTTGAATTCATTATGAGTAAATCATGTTAATCTTTAAAATGATTTCGGTTATTTCCACACTAAGCTTAAATATTAAATGTCATTTTACTCCAAGTAAATACTTTGGGCATCAGATGTATTGTGTGGAGAATTTATTTTTTTGGTGGGGTGTGGGATGAGGAGAAATTTCTGTTCTATAGAACGCAAATCAAAACTACATTACAATGCTGGATTAATTTACATGTTCAGACTACAATTAGGGAGTTAATGCTTTCTATTCATATTGTGATGTACCATAGAAAGAAAAGAACTCAAATCAAATAAATAGTGACAAGGTTACAGGTAAAAAAAAAAAAGTCTTAAAATGAAATGCTGATGACAATCCTTTTAAGAAGTTGCCAGTTCTATCACCAGTATATTAGCAGCCCTTTCCTATTCCTTCTATTCAGTTGTTGAATACCAAGTGACAGGCATGAGCGCTAGGAGCAAAGAAAATGAAAAAAAAAAAGAAGCAGCTTTTTAACAAGAAATACTAAGATGATAAAGTCAGCTCCATTAATGACACAATAGCGCAAGAAGCCTCATGTAAATTTATGAGCATTTCTTCAGAGATCTTATAAACATTTAGAGAAGCTGACTCCTCAAAATGAGGTGTTTTATCTTTGGGGCTATTTAAACCTATCTGTATTTTCTTGCTTAGTATCCCAAGGGATGCATTCGTCTGAGGCTTGCTGATATGAGGCCAGTGCACTCTGTCTTCCAACTCTAAGGTTCATGATCAAGAATTCTTTTGGAATAGAATTTCTGGGGTGGGATACAAATGACAGCACATCTTGATCAGCAGTCATATTTATTTTATAAATGTTAGAGAAGAGAGCATACATCAAGGGGGCTGGAATCTTCCAGAGTCTGAAGGGACTGTAGACATTATCTAATCTATCCTGGAGCATAAGGAAGCTTCCTCTGCAGCATCCCCAACAGGATGACCCCAAATGGTCATCCTGCTTCTGAGAGAACACTTCCAAGGAGCCAGGAATTCTCTGGCTAACCAAGTTCCCTGCTTCATTTTTAGATTGTCCTCTATGTTATCAGGATCTTCCTTCTATTGGGATGAAATATGCCTCTCCATGGCTTCCAACCTTAATGATCCTAATTCTGCTCTTTGGGGCCAAGAAGGGGCCTTTTTCATAAGATGACCCTTCAGTTATATGAAAACAGACATGTCCTCCTTAAGTCTTCCCTGTTGTTCAGGCAAAATATCCCGAGGTTCTTGAGCTAACACTACAGCTACCTACACGGATCAGAAGATAATGACTTAGAAATGGGATGGGCCTTCAGAATCATTAGGGCAGCTAGGTGGCATGGTAGATAGAGTGATAGGCCCAGAGTCAG